AGGGATAAGAAACTCTAGTAGGACAAATTGAGGCTTAAATTGAAAAGGAGACTCTGTTACCACTTCACCTTAATAATGAGAGACTAAAATAAAGTTTGAAGAGATTTTCTTTTTCCATTTCCACTCATGAAACCAGGTCTTTCTTTCCTTCCTCACTGAGTAGTGCCTGAATCACCAATAAATTTAAGGAGTCTTTCTTAGTCTGTTTGAAGCTCTTGGGTCCTTGGAGACCCACCAGATGAGAGAAAGATTGAAAAGTAAAGTGTAGATGTTGGTTTGGTATCCTCACATGAAAGGTACTGCAAAGATCAAAAGAAATGATCCGTATTTTTCCACTAAATAATTTTTATCTTTTTTAACTATTTTTTTCTAGAAATGGAATCAAAATGTACTTCCATAAAATTTTTGGCCATATTGAGAAATATTTTAATGCTGTCATAAGATTTGAAACTGCTTTGCTAGTTTCCAGAAAAAAAAAATTATGGTACAATGTTCAACTTTAAGTAGTTACATTAAAAATTGAGTTTTCATTATCTTCTTTGTAATAATTGTGATGGTTGAAAGAGCATGATACCAGTTTTCCTATTTTTTTCCTTTTCAGTGCAATAATAATATAGGGGTCATACTTGGAAGAAAAGCCCATCTACCAAACAGTTTCAGTCTTTTTTATTGTTGTTGTTAACCTGTCAGTTTAAGGAAATAACAGCAGCTATCTGACTGCTTCACTGTTGGTGAACAGAACAGCCATCATGGATGTATGTTATGAGGGAGATGGAGTTCCTTTGACATGGGATTGGTGTTATGATGAGGCCGGCTGAAGGATCTTCAAGTTCCCTCAGTCCCGGAGATTTTCTTTCTACTGTAGAAGTGTGAGGAACAGAGGCATACCTCTGCCTTTTATCACCCCAGTATACCTGGAGTCCTCATCAAACCAACTCCATCTCGTGTAACATCTGCTGTGATGAAAGAAGTGGCAGTAGAATTTTCTTTATCCATTAGGCTCTGGAAGGTGAGAAGAAGGCATCCCAAGGATGTGTTCCTTTAAAAATGACATTGGTTCATTCATCCTTACTTGGGGAAAAATAATTCTAGGCAGATGCAAATGATAACAGTACCCTGACTTCTGGTTTTACCTCTTTTGGTTAAGAGGGCTAGTTCATAAGGACTGATTGCTTCATCCTGCCACTTTAGATAGACTGAAATGTCCTTTAACAATCCTGTTTCCTATTAATAGATTTACTGTGCAAGAGAAGCTAAATCAATATATAATTTAATGGCTCCTCTTGTCAGGGGCATTATTGATTCCATTACTGATGACTTTGAAATGATATGCCATTATGCAAATGCCATCTATTTTAGACATCTTTACAAGGCACCTACAGATGTACTTTTTTCTTCATCTTTCATTTGCCTGTCTCATGATTATCAAATACTGGAATATTTTCTGAAGATTATGAGCCCAGTGAATACTGATACTCCAGATAAAATATAAATGCTTACTTTCATTATGCAAACAAATTATATGGGGCTGTATAACTCTCACACTTATCACTTCTCAAAGTATAGAAAATAAAATTATTACAACAATAGAGAATTAAATTCTATTTTATTCTCCAGAGATTAGAAACAATATTTTGTTTAGTTGTTTCTGTTCATTTGTGAATAAGTGGTTATATAGCTCAGGGGGCGTAAAACTGGCACCTTCCCTATACACTCATCCCACTGGTAACACCATTCAATCATCCTGACTTTGCGTTCTTTATTTCTATAATCAATGAAATAGGAGACACAGGGTGGGCTAGGAATACACACTGGTATCACTCTTTTCGACTACCACAATGATACAAAATAGGTGAGGAAAACTTATTTTTATGTAAATACTTAAACAATGTATTTTAAAGTTAAATTTTTTGAAAACTAGCAAAGCAGCTCTGTCTTATAATAACATTAAAGTATTTCTCAATATGGCCACATTTTTTATGGTTCACTTTCTAGGGGGAAAAAACACATCTGGTTAAAAAAAGATGAAATATTTTTAAGTAATACAATAAGAATGTTGCAACATGACTCTCACAATGAGGTGTCTCAGTTCAATGCATCCCATGATAAAATGCCTTGACAATGAATGTTGAGCTATCAGTCCCAAGGTGAGTAGTATGGCCTTTCATACCCCTCACTCCCTTGGTCTTACATGCTGGTAGCTTCAGTAAAGATATGCAATTACACTTTTTTGGGGGGTGGGGAGGTGTACCAGGGATTGAATCCAGGGTCACTCAACCACTGAACCACATCCCCAGCCCTTTATTATATTTTATTTAGAGACAGGGTCCCACTGAGTTGCTTAGTGCCTTGCTTCTGCTAAGGATGGCTTTGAACTTGTGATCCTCCTGCCTCACCCTCCCAAACCACTGGGATTACAGTCATGCACCACTGTGCCCAGCTACAATTATACTTTTAAGATCTCAAGACAGTAAGGTAGAAAGTAATACCTAAAATGCATAAATTTTAATAACAAAGAGACATTTGTTAGGTTTTGTAGGGTAAATTTGATCGAATTTATAAAATCAAATTCAGTTCTGAAATAGAAAGTATAATTGCATGTGTCCTCTTAGCTTCTTTCAATATTTTATATTTTTCAGATATGAACAAATAATTAACTATCTCAGGTTAGTCAGGTCAAACTGATTTTTAAAATATATACAAAATAAATAGGTGAATTGCAGAAACTTAGTTCTAAATTTTAGACAGGAACTGTTCACAGTATACATGTACTTGGACTTTGTCATACTTCATTTATAGTTTTCTAGAATAAATGATTGTTGCTTTTGTCATTTATAACTGTTAATCTAGTATTAGTCTTTGAGGAAAGAGTTGAGAGAGAAAATGCACTCTCAGGAGTTTCCACTTCTTAGGAGCAAGAAATCAGGACTTTAGCATCATGCAGCAAGATCTGGAGCTGAGGAAAACAGAGTTATATTATGAGGCTCCAAAAACCAGAATCAATCACTTGATTTCACTTCTACAATGCTAAGCCAAGAAAGCAAGACTTCAACATTTGTCCATTGGGGGTTGGAAAAAAACAAAAAAATTAAAAGCAACTACTAACTTCACACTAGAAAAGATGTTCTTAGCATGCCTATGTCTAAATGAAACTTGAAGTCTTTGATCAATAAAATAAAAACAAGACAATAAACCACTTTCCTTCCTGAAGACCTAGAAAACTCAACCAAGATTAAAGAATATTCAAACCATTAAAACTTTGTGTCTATACAGACATATTGTTGCAAAAACTATAATCATAAGTGGTTTGGGCCAGTATTCTTATTTTTTTTTCAAAGAATAATCAGCATCTGGGAACTTTGAATATGCTCTAATACAGGTCCTTAATTACTTAAAAGATAACAATAGATTTATTCATTTTCAGAGTCATGGAGGCTTACTGGAAGTTGGAATTTGCATAATAGTTGCATTTGTCCTACCTGCCTGTCTGTCAATCACAGCTGTAGGATCACAAAGCAGAACTGCTGGAGGCTGGGTTATCTCTTTTTCCCAACGCCTTGGTGTTTCTCTCCCATAGGTAGAGTTTGAAATTAGTATAAATGGTATATTCAGTGAAAGTCAAAACTCAACTTTGGGAGAAATGAAAATAACTACAATAGCACAAGTCTTCCCCACCCACATCACTGCCACCCCACTTTCAAAACAGCTGTTTTGAGGCCACAGCTTCCATCTTTAGAAAGACAAACAAAACATGAATAACTTCCTGTTGTGCTTGAGGTGGAAAATCTGCTTAACCTGAATAAGAGTTAGATTCTAGGACACTGGGTGGAGTAAAAGACTTAATATTTTCTTTTGTGATGCTTCTGTACGTTTGTTATTTTAATAAAATTTTATGATACAAAATATTTTGCTTGGAAATATCAGAAAAGCACGATGAAAGAAACAGTGACCCACCAGCCTATTGCTCAGAGATTAACTCTGTTAAAATTTTGTTGTAATTTATTGACTTATTCTAAAGGAATGACTAGCAGGACACAGCTCAGATAACCTGATGGTGAAGGCATTTCTTAAATAAATATATTTATCTTTATTATTGTGATATGTATTTTTGTGCTTTTCTTTTTCATGATAATGATAACTTATTAGTACTGAGTACTATATTGTCCAGATTAATTCCGTGGCCCTGGGCAGGGAGATATGCATTGGGTGGCTTTTTTAGTCTTTCAGACCTGCTTGATATCCATTCTTGAAGAAAAAACTCAAAAATACAGACATTTCTCAATTGCTGTTTGGAAGAAGTGCAACGTGTTAACCTTGCTTTCCTCTTCTCTATGTTCCTTCTCTTTCCTCTTCCCCTTGTTCGTCAATTTCTATTCTTCTCTATTTCAGCAAAACAATATCAGTCAAGGTAATTGATGATGAGGAGTATGAGAAAAACAAGACCTTCTTCCTTGAGATTGGAGAGCCCCGCCTGGTGGAGATGAGTGAGAAGAAAGGTGGGGGAGCTGCTCCAGGGCTGAGCCCTACAGCTTCTGCTGGCCTGTGCCACCCTGGATGCCTGCACTCTTCAGAACATGACTTACAATGCACACATCCCTCCACCTCTGTAACAGGGCATAGATCTCACGCTGGGCTACAGTGGGCCATGTCTAAAAAATTACTGGCCAGTGCAGTCAATCAAACCTCCATTTCTGGGAAAATTGATACAGATGCTAGGCAATGTTAAAAATGAAGCCAGATTTCCAATTTACCTTCCTAATTTGGGGTACCTAGGGACTGCTAACCCAAGCAGGAAGAATTCATGCAAGGGCTGCATAAGCACAGAAAATTCAATGGGGGCCAGCTGAGAGCACCAAGATGCCCTTTTACATACGTCTGGAGGTCCATGTGCTGCGAGTTCTCCCTCCATAACATCACAGTAACATCCAGCCTGGTGGACATCTAGAGCATGAGCGTGTGACTCCAACCATTTGTTTTGCCTTTGTCTTGTGTTCCCACAGGAAGATCATTACCATTAGAATATATGACCGTGAGGAATATGAGAAAGAGTGCAGTTTCTCCCTTGTGCTTGAGGAACCAAAATGGATAAGAAGAGGAATGAAAGGTGTGAGAGTATACAAAGACATACCAGCGAGAAATTGTACTCTTCTCTCTCCGTGTCTCCCTACTCTCACACTTAACTCTCTCCTCTTCCTCGGCTTCCAAGTACTAAACTCCATTGCCTCTGAAGCTTTAGCTGGTTCATTTCCCATCCCTGACTCACAAGTGCACTAAGCAGTGCCCATTTTCCACAGGAAATGTGGACTAACCTTGATTACAATCAGGTTTCATAAATACTAGATATTTCTGGATTTCAGAAACGATGATGTTAAAGAACGTGCTTAGTTTTTCAGTACGTAAAGTTCATTCTAAAACATGGCTACAATTATATATCTCCCCTAAAACGATAGTGATAAAGACTATTTCATAGCTCCTCAATTGTGCTTCAGTGAAGCTGGAAGAAGAAAAAAACTACTTCATGTCTATTAGTGGCAAGAAATAAGTCTAAGGGCAACTAATAAGAAATTTCAGAAGAATTCAATAATTAGGCTTCTGTAAAAAGAACACAGTCTTTTTTAAACAAACTAATAAGAACAAAGATCCTTAAAAAGTAATGTTACCCATATTCAAGTGCTCATTTTGGCATTTTTTGTAGTAAATATGACATTTAAAGGTGCCATACATATGAAACTATAGTCATATACATTTTACTTTAGATGGAAAGACATGGTCCTTTGGTAAAACTTTAACCCTGGCTTAAGGTCTATATAGCCTTATGTTCTAAAATCTTTTGATCATTATAGAATTAATAAATTTTGATTTGTCTAGTAAAAAGAAAAATTAAGCAGCAGTATCCGTATAACTCTATTTTGATTATTCATAAGTATTGTTGTAGAAAATATTTGAAAAGGGAGCCAATTTTCTTTCCTAACTTTGATTCATATCTATTTTACATGGCCTAGATTTGATAAGGGTAAACAGCAATTTTATTTCAGCCTTACATATAATCTTTTATTGTGAAATAATACTAGGACTCCCTATGATTATCCTTTTAACTGCGGCCATATTAATAAAAAGTCTTGTTGATTCAACTGCATATGTAAAATGAGCATACCACATGCTAATAATTCTTATTATTTATATATACACAATTGGCAAGAGCAGTGTAAAAGATGATTAGATGAACAACACTGCAAGAAGTTTTTACTTTTACATGTAAAGGAAAAAATAAAATTCACAGGACTTATTTATATATAGAACCAACATTTGGGGAAATTTAATTTCACATTTATGAGAACTCACTGACCTCAGGGTCCCTTAGGTTATTATTATTATTTTTTTCTTGAGGGCATGTCCCTGACCTAATCAAGCTCAAAATGGCAATGGAAGCCTTTGGAATGGTGGATAAAGGAGCACTTGGGACCCATTTGAATGCAGCTTATTTAATAAGTTCCATAGGCAGTAAGCAGAAGGAGAAGAGACTTCATAAAATTGTGCTGATGTCTTATAAAGATGGGATAAAAAATGCTTCATTAGCATCCAGAGAAAAGCACTTAGTTCTAAATGTATTCCTCCAAAGAGCTGTCTTTTATCTCAAGGAAGAGCATCTTGGATACAGCTCTTTCAATTGTCATTTTAGTAAAATATGCCTTCATGTGAAAGCAAATTAAAATTCCTTGATGGCGCTACCCAGTTTCTTGCCGCCAAGTGGATTCTTATCACTATAAATAAAATTACTGACTTGTTATAGAAAGTGCCCTCTAAGGCCACTACCATTACTGAGAAAACTGGACCTAAAAGAGCAATTGTAACATTTCTATCTACAGCTCAGAAAGCCATTTATATTTAGCCAGGTAGCTTTTACTAAAATAAAGTACTGCCATCCAGACCGGGTTTAAAGGATATAACCTCAAAGAAAAATTATTTGCTTCCTCCACCCTCTCTGCCCTGTCAGTTTCTATGGAGTTCTATATCCACTAGAAATATCCGGTTATCTAATCTTGTGCAGAAATCACTAATGAGGACACACAAATAAGTATCAATTCCTGTGATTCTTAGGATTTAAGAGTTTTTGAAACTTTAGCAATCCATGGGGACCAAAATATCATCCAAGTAGCATGTCCAGAAAGAGGGCTGTACCAGAAAAAGGGGTCAGAGTGTCCCGGCAGGCAGGGAAGTCTAAGGGAACATCTTAGGATCTTTTATCTGTTCTTGCTGATTAAAATGTATGATACCTGAGATCCTGGATCACTAGACTCCCAAATGCTGTATTAATTCCCAGGCAACATTTAATGAGGAAAACAACTTTGAGTCAAGCAAAGGATTAACTTCATTTGACTTTCTACTATATTTTGTAGATATATACACTGTGTATAAGCATATATAGTAGAAATGTCTTGTTAAGTGTAAAAAAAAAAGATTCATAAGGTGATTTTTTTCCCCCATCAATCATGCACATTTACAGAACTATTTGTTTGGATCTTTAATTTGGAAGTACTCCCAACACCACCTGTGTACCCTTGGGTGCACCAAATTTTTAGCAGTGGTTTTTTTTAACCACTCTAATCAGATCTGCCTGGATTTCTTTCTGCTGATATTCCTCTTACTTTCATTATTCATCTGGTCTCTTATTCTGTGTTTGTCTTTGTCTGTTTCCTTCACAGCCCTGTTATTGAATGAGCTTGGTAAGCACTTCATTTCTTGCATTTCCTTTCCATTTTTCTGGGTTATTTTCCATTTCTGTTAGGTAATATAGTAGCTCTCTGATTTTTATCTCTATTGAATTGCTAACAAGATTGTTGTTTAGGGCCATTGGCCTCATTTTAGTTAGAGTCAAATAATTTATATTACATTTTTAATTTAGTATTAACTTTTGAAAACCATAGATTTCTTAGATATGCCTCAGAATTAACTTTATGCACTAAAATTCCACAATCTTAAAGGAATTAGTGATTCCATCATGAATGGATGTTTTCATATTTGTAATTGCGAATATAATTTGGCAAATTTCCATTACCTTGGGTGGGTTGTCAGATAGTCAAATATCACTGGTATATGTTATCCAGACTATAATTTAAATTGTAACATTTATTTTTTTTCCTTTTTTAGGTGGCTTCACAATAACAGGTATGAATTTTAAAGTCTAATATTACCTATTTTTTTACTGTCTGTTCCTAATATGTTACTATTTTTAAAAATTAATTTCTTATTTTTATTTGCTTTTAATAAAGGAAAATACCTGTATGGTAAGAGTATTTTTTTTCAAGTTCCCATTTTCCCCCAAGTACTCTAAAAGTCAAACCCAACCCACATCTTATGTAACCTGAATTAACATTGAACTATGGCACTTGGTGTGCTCTTGCTGATTTTTCACATTTAACATTTTATGAATTAACATGTGTGTGTGCTGTGTTTATTTGTATGAAAATTTATTTACATTTTGATACCTGGCCAAATTACAGATGCTCACATAGCACTGATAATGTGCAGTACACTCAGATAGATGCCATATGTAAAACTAAAATAAGCACAAATGCTGTCCTCAAAAAAAACATTGGAGGTGACAAGGTGGTCCAATCTTAGGATACTATTAATAGATAGTGCCAGGCTAGGAGAGAACTGAGGAGTTCCTTCCCTTTAACCCACTACATCAATCTGAACCCCTCTTTGGGGACCTAGTTCTAATATTAATAACATGGTAAATGATATTTCTGCTGCTTGAAATATATCTCACTTGAAGTGCTCTATAAAAATTTAAATGCAGTCAGGAAGCTTAAGATTTTTAAATTTGAACTGGTATCAACCTGTGTTGATCACATTATTTAGCATAACTCTAAAGCTATTTTCTTGTGTACACATTAAAGATATTCCCCCACAGTATCTTATTTTGACCCTAAATATCTTCTTACCTTTACAGAATTATCTATGCAGATATAAAAGGAGAGGAATATCAAATGGTAGTTTTAATTTATCTGAAGTTGCAGGTTGAAGATATATCTCCAATGGCCTTTTTTGATATAATGTACAAATATAAAACTTTTCCAATTTCTTATGCAGCTATCAGAATGTTTAAATCAGAGCTGAACAAAAGCATTTAGATGGAAATATTATTAAGATCTCTTTTAATGAAAACACAATTGTGGGTGTTGTGGTTATTATAAACCACTGTTAGTGTTAATTCATGAACACATAGTTTCAAATTGATTGTATCCAAAGTGGGACCTCATAAATATAGGCAATTTCACATGGACTGTTGCTCTCCACTGCTTCTCTAGACACAACATTTGACCATAAAATGCTTCATAGATTCTCAGAGACATAGAAATTGAAAAGGATAAAAACGTTAAACAGGAAAAGTCCTTATACAGGAGTCCTTAAATCTCATTCATTTTGAAATTTTCCCAGGTCATATCTCCCCATTTCTGCACCACTGAAGTTATTTATGAATCCAAGTGCAGGAATTTACATTTATTTTTAAAAACTTTATTTTCTTTTGCTCATCTCATCATTTTAACTCTTTGAGGTCTTCTTGGAAGTATTCTGATTCTGTCACCCTGGATGAAATAGTTTCCCTTGAGAGATATGAGGATGGTAGAAATTTGGCAAGCCAGCCTTTTGACTTGATGGAAGTAATGATTTCCATTAATTAGTTCCATAAAGTTAATCATTATAGGAAAAAAATATATATATATGTATACACACATATACACACACACACATTTTATATATATATTTATACTGGAGATTGAACCTAGGGGCACTTAACCACTGAGCCACATCCCCAGCCCTTTTTTTATATTTTATTTATAGAAAGGGTCTTGCTGAGTTGCTTAGGGCTTTGCTAAGTTGCTGAGGCTGGCTTTGAACTAGAGATCCTCCTGCCTCAGCCTCCTGAGCTGCTGGGATTACAGGCATGCACCACCCAGCTCAAAATTATATATATTTAGCGCACCTTCAATCCTATGCAGCCTGATAGTGAGATCTTAACTAAGACTCCTAGAGTCAAGCAAGTGGGTTGGGGAGGGGGCAGAAGAGAGGAAAAGGGAAGATACTAGGGAATGAAATTGATCAAATTATGTTATATTTGTGTATGAATATGGCATAGTGAATCCCACACTTTGATGTATAATTATAGTGCACCAATGAAATTTTTTAAAATCTGGGGAGAATAGAATGCCTAGTTAAAATGCATTTATGTTTTCAGCTAGTCTCCTTTTTTCATAATCATTGAATATGTTAGAAGTTCACTTTAGGGCCTGCCTTTCATGTCCAGTGAACAATTCTCCCTTTTAGTATCTCAGGTAATGAAATCCTGATGTTCTTTTGCCAGAAATGTTTCCTATCAAATTCTATCAAATCTACCCAGTAATGTTCAATGTTTCTTCCCTTAGCTGCCTAACATCCTAGATGACAGAATCATTTTTTCCAAATTTTCTATCATTTCAAGTCATTCACTAAGTCCTTCCTTATGACTGAAACAAGAATCTGAAATAGCATTTTTTTCTATTGCTACTATTTCCTCCCAAGACTCAAAATGAATACAGTTATGACAAGAGAATGTTCTAGAACTCTCTGAGAATTTCTATGTTGGCCTGTCCATTTCTACTTAGGTAGACACTGTCTCACTTTACATTACCCTACTTTCTCTGAAAGAGACCAGAATGTCCAGGATTCTCTCTTTACCGATGCCCCCGAGGAAAGTTCTAAAACTTGGGCCTATACAATGAAAAAAGCAGAATTAAGCCCTAAAGAGCTTTTCTTTGAAGTTGGTTTGAGACTTTGAAGTCAAGATTTTGAAACGAAGGGAAAGTAGAGAAGAATTAATCTAGCCTTTAGACTGGCCTGCAGCTTTTAGGAGGACTTGTACAGCTAAGCGCGAATGTCTAAATTTGAAGCAGGCTATATGGAAATTGAAAAAGCAATTTGGTCCACAGCCTAATACTAATATTTTAGAGATCTCATTAGTGTTGGACATAAAGTGGTAGAAGTATTTTTGGAATTTGCAAATCTTTACCTGTTGTTTTGGACCTCGCCTCATTGAAAGGCCCTTGTTTGGATCTATGATCTCATTCCCCCTTGACCTTCCAGTTGTTTTGATAACAGTCTGTACATTATAGCTCATTAGAGTTTGTAATGAATATCATTTTATCACCATTCTTATGGTTTTTATTGTTCTTACTTCGAGGGGAGGTAAAAGGTTCAAAGATATTAATTATTCTACCCCAAATCACCCTTTCAAGACTCAGAGCCAGGCCCTCAGACTTTAAGGAAAAAGCCATGTAATGATTGTCCTAATCACAGCATTCTATTTCCTCCCTCCAACCCTTTTATTTCTACCTGCATCTTGAAATTACACATTGAGCCCCTTTTTAATCCAAAGCCCAGCTATGTCTTGTAAATACCGTCATTATGAATTCTAGTCGAATGAAACAAGTGAGGGAGACCCCAAAAGGGGGGAAATAAGCACATAAATATACATATTTTTAAGAAAATTCAGCACTCTGGCTCAATATGAAGATAAAGAGGTATTTTTTTTTTGTTTCCCTTAACACTTCTAAGACTTGTAGCTATAGGATTTCCTAATTAAAATTATATAGCACCCAATATACCATTTTAATATTACTCCACCAATCCTATTATGCTCATGTAACAGACTTAATAAGATATATGTCTTTCTAAGGAAGTCAAACTATGAAAATTCTAGCAGTTGGAAATACTTCCATCACTCCAGTTTATAGATTAGATGAACAAAGCCAGTCATGTTTGCTTCATTTTACATTTGAGAATATTGAGTCTCCAGGAGGAAAAATGCCTTGTCCAAGTTTACATGGCAAGCACATGCAGACCTGGCACTCAGTTCTAGGTCTCATGACTCCCAGGTCAGTTCTGGGTAGCTCATGGTTGAAGAAAACAGCAGGTGATCTGGTAATCAATTGAATTAGGAATTCAATGAAAATCCATGACCTGGTTAATCCAATGGGTGCCATAATGATGACTTACCCTTACGCAATTGGCAAGTGTGAGTAGCATTCTCCTAATCAGACTGCTCTGGAAACAAATGCAGTAAGCATGTTCCCAGATGTTGTTCCACCCTCAAACAAACCTGTGAGGTAGAGCAGATAATATTATCAACAGTTTATATGTGGGGGAAACTAGAGAAATGGCCTAGTCAACTCATAGTGTTGGCACTCATAGGCTTTAGAAACAAAACAACTGTCAATGTATCAATGCTTTTCTGTTGTTTCATGATGCGTCTGGAAGCAGTCATTTGAAGAACCTGGATTCATTTCACAGAGCTGCAGGAATATGGCCATACCCCTTACCATGGGGCATGCACTTGCTCCATCTGTGGGCAGTAACCTCCATCAGTTACTACCAGAGCTCCCTCCTGTTACCTGTAAAGGGGTGACCTACAACCACTCAAGCCCTAAACTAACATTGCTTATAGTGTGTGCTTCTGGGTATGTGGTTTACTTTACTAATTCCACAAATCTCTGATAGCAAACCAATTGTAATCCATTCTGCTGATCTTTTTGCCTATCCTTTTGCTAGGCCAACCTGTCTTCAGGAAAGTTCATGCTAGAGAACATCCGATTCCCTCTACTGTAATCACCTTCGCAGGTACTCATTTCATTATAGTCCTTGGAAACCACAGCCTTCAAGTGTTCTTTGGGTCTTTAGATTCATGTGGTTTTGCCCTGTCCCCTCTAAAGCATTACTAAGTAATGCAGTGGCATCTCTGGAAGCTGGGGATGCCATGGTTTATCAACAAAACCCAACCACATCAGGGCAGAACAGAAGACCAGTAGCATAGAGGTGGCAGCCTAGACCTATAGAGAATGTGATCCAGTGGCCTCTCCAGTTTCAATATTCCATATTTCTCACCAATATCTCTTCTTACCCAGGAGTCCAGTCTTTCATCCCAGCTATCATAAAATTTCTTTAAAATCCCAAGCCATATTTCTTCCCAGATCCTGAATTTCCTCATGAACAGATGATAGTACATATGTGGGGTTTCTCCTTAGAAGAAATGAAGGAACATTGACAGAGTGATGAGGGGATTATGCAACTTTACCAGATTTACTCTAGGTTTAAGCTGGATATCATCTCCTGGAGCTAAGTCTCTGAATGAGAACAGGGATTTTGCTTATCAATCATCACTGTTGCCCATCACTAGCCATGATGGTAGAAGCACTTCTAGTGCTTAGTCAGTATTTCCATTGCTGTGATCAAAAGGAAAAGTTTATTTGGCTCTCATGGTTTCAGAGGTCTCAGTCCACATGGCTGACTTCATTGCTCTGGGGCAGAGGCGAGGAAGGACATCATGGCAGAAGAGCATGTTAGAACATCACACCAGGAAGCAGAGAAAGAGCTCTCCTCTCACCAAGGACAAATATAGACCCCAAAGATATGCCCCAATGACTAACTTCCTCTAGCTATAGCCTGCCTGCCTATGGTTACCACCCACTTAAGCCTTATCAGGGATTAATGCATTGATTAGGTTAAGACTTTCATAACCCAATCATTTCACCTCTAAACTTTCTTTCATTGTCTCACACATGGGCTTTTGGGGGACACCTAATATCTAAACTGTAATAGTTAAGATAAAAATTATGACTATACCAAAGAATATCAATAATAGTTCCTCAGGTAGAGATCTCTACTATGAGATAGACCATGTGGGCTGTGTTGTTCTCTAAAAAGGATGCCTACTTGCACCCCTTCACCTCACAGTGATTCTGCTTCAAAATGCACCTGGAACCAGGAAGCATTAGAAGCAGCTTTTTATAATTTTGTTTTTCCTACATCTTGGACCTATTAGCTTTTATTATTTATTGCTTGTAAAATCAACCACTCAAGATAAGGGAGATTCTCCCACTGGTAATTTTATCACAGAATTGTTTTACTGACTTTTAACAGTGGTAGCTAATTATGCATTTTATCTTTATGTTGTTTGGGTTGGTTAAGAACTATGATGTTAATGTAATTTATTCCCAACTTCTCGATAAAATATGGTGAGGTTTAAAAGTCTACATGTATATATAGGGAAGACAGGAGAGAGAGAAAGAGAATTAATTTTCTCTAGGAAACAAAACTAAGACCAAAGCACGTTATCACTTGGTGTAAGTGAGGAAATAAGCTGGCCCTGGCTACACTAAAATGAGCTGGTTTGGGTCCAGTGCTCCAAGTGGAAAGGAAACAAACATTATAGTTGATCCAAGGGGCAGAGGGAACTTTTTCCTACTCAATAAAAAGTATCTAAACTGAGACACTTAAAAAAAAAAAAAAAGAATCAGCTCTCTTCTTTGCCAATGTCAAAAATCTAGACCATAAGTAGTAATCAGTATCATTGCAGATCAATGATGGAATTTATCCAGCTGACATATCAATTATGCATAAATATAACTATACCTTCAATGTTCATGATACTTAGCAAGTGAAAACAGCCCTGACCCTTCCATGATGCTGTGCACTTGTACCTTGACTTCTGCTTGCCCAGAATGCACCTCCTCACCCCATTGCCTCTTGGCCATGCTTACCATTACTTCCACCTGGCAGGCTTCAAGGCCAATTTCAATCACACTTTCCTGAAGCCTGAAGCCTTCCCTGACTCCCTCAGGCAGCTAATCACACCTCCCACCCTGGTCCCTCAGCCCTTACCACACAGTACCAGAAGTTGTTCATCTATATGCCTCTCTTCCCACTACACCATAAGTTTTTGGAAGATGGGAGGTTTATGTGGAGGACTACAGCAGGGCTGACATATTGTTGGAGTGCAATGACATGTGTTAAAAGAATAAATGTGATCCATATTTTTATGGATAGAGCAAATAAAATATTTTACTAACGGAGAGCCTCACAACAAATACTTATTCAGCACCTACTACATTGCATACATTGTATAGACCCTGGAGGATGTAAGAATGATTCAAGGAGAAATGAGACACATTGTTCTCACTCAGAAAGCCTACGCGCTGGATATTTGTATATAAAGGTATTTAAAAATTAAAAAGAGCATATGAGAGTATTCAGGTTCTGTATTCACAATGAATATTAAAGAATTAATTAAAGGTTCATGTGGTCATGGCTAAAACCCCAGTTGTCAATTGGAGGATATTTCATGGAAGAAAAGGAATGCTTTTGAAAGAAGAGTAGGATTTAAGTAGATAGATATAGGAAAGCCTTTCTAGGTATATTGATAATGGAATAAAAGTACAGTTTGTTGTAAGAATGTAAGAAATGAGAGAGACCCAGTGCCTTAACTTTGCTTTTGGTTAGTGTGAAATATGCTAAGACAGTATTTCCTAAATTTTTTGTCATTCTAATAAATTTTTCCCTTCGGTTGCATACCATCTATGCTGTTATTGACTTAATGAAATTGTTTGAAATTGCATCATGTTTTACTTACTAAATTTGCTTTTAAAGAAAACTTTAAGTCAATAGCATAAGGAGAACAGTCATTTCCATAAATACAAAGTAAAATTTTACAGTGGAAAAAATGCTGTTAAATTCTAGCTAGATACTATATTCTCTATCTTAAAACATTAGAAACCCAAGTGCTGGGAATAGTTACAGACCTAAGAGCATCAAACTAAGCATGTATTTATAATCAGAAGGGCTGAGGATTACTGATAAAGTATCTTTTTACTCACTCAATTTCATTTACTCCCATGTCTATTTATTTAATACCTCATGTTCCAAATCAGTTTCATTTTGTGGAGCGCTACACTAAACCATTCTACCACATCACCTTGCTTTCATAATTTCTCAGTTTTTTTCTGCATAAGTTATCTTTAGTCCTATCAAAAGCAACTTGTCATTTATAAGTAAACTATAGAAAATAAGGCCACAATAAATATTCTCCCTCAATAACTTTGTATTCAAATAGATATCCAAGTCATAAATTTTCTTGTAAGGAAATAGGTCCTTGTCAACATAAGTCTTTCATACATCTGTGTTGAGCCAAGGTTTTGAACAAAGGCACTAATATAACCTGCTGCTGTAAACAATACCAATGGTCCAAGGATCATAAAGTCATGGGAATCAAAATATGTTTGATTTGAGCACTGGATACATTGAACTTCACTTAGCTCAGTCGACCCCTCTTGACTAGACACACTTAGTTTCACAAAGACAAGTCTTGGATATCCCCACCCCCAGAACCCTTTGCTTTTCCTTGGATCACAATGTCCCTGTGCTGATACAAAAAAAAAAAAATACCACTTACAGTTAAAATTAATTCTTTCTTGTTCCTTTTCTTTGCCTCTGCTAATGGTCAACAGCTTCTGCCCAGTCAGAAATCACTCATTTTAAGTCTTCATCTGATTTCTTTGACATCCTGTAATCACTGGGGATAGGAATGTGGATTTGAAAAATATCATTTATATACACTAAAGAATTCATTGATACACTGCATTCTGCTCCTGCCTTCTGTTTGTTTTGACACTTGAAATATAAAATGCTGGCAGTTCATTTGGCACATTTGTCTCCTACCTTTGCAAGAAGTAACTGGTCTAGGGACCATTCTCTGCAACAATTGGAGCTACTGCACCAGGATTCTTGAGCAGAGAGGAAGCCATGAGTCTTCAGAGGGAGTGGGAGGTAGAGACCCCTTCAGAAGCTGATGTCTAAATGCAAATACAAGAGTTCTGGGCAAGAAGTCCTTTCCTTATATATAACTCCTGAGACCACAGACTCCTATTGCAGGCAATTTTTCTGGGTGTCCTAGAGGTGAGAGCATTAGGGCTGAGGTCTTTCCATATCACCACTGCTACTTCCCTGGAGATGACGTTCATTCCTCTTGACATGAGAGGAAGTAGCCTATCCTGTTCCAGCATCCTGAGCCTAAAGGATAGGGATGATTAAAGGGCTAGTGTTTGTCCTCCACATGTACGTGGCCTTTTCAGTCCAGGATTGGTCCTTATGACCTTGATGCAGAGAGAGTCAACTATGAGCTTCCCCTCATTAATGGTCTCTTGGTTCCATTAACATTTCCTCAGCACCCACTAGCCTATCCTGGAGTGTAAGCTACATGGTAGTTTTGGAAACAATCAAGCTCATGTGGTGAGTCTTAACTCCCTAAAGGCCTCACCCTCGCCCTCCCTGTTTACTTTAAGATTAACATGGTCAAAGTTTTCCTAACACATTTGCACCAGAGAGGAAGCACTGGAGCCCATACATCTCACGGAAGCATGGAATGGATGTTGTGCTGCTTAATTTGTGACAGAGGCTCTTGGCTAGTGAGAGGCTAAGCTCAAAATTTCCTTTCCATCCTTTCTTTGGCCCTGGGGCGTTTTCTGTTGCCTCTAGAAAGTGGAGAAGAGAAAGCCAAATTTCTCCATCCCAGGGTTACTCTAGGACTTTTAATTGTGTGTGTTTCCCTTTGGTCACATGCTGAAGGAATGTGTACAAAGAGCCAGCTGAGCCAGCATCACAGAGAACAGCTGGGTGATTCCCGGAGCACAGACAATGTGCAGGCAGGGTCTTTCTCAGTGACATGCCCCTCTGTGTTACTTTTCTTCATCTGCACTTTTGCCTGAGCTTAGACACTGGGACATAATCACCTGCTGTCGGAGTGATGTGTTGCCCAGTCGCCAAGCATCTGTCCAGTCCTCCCCTCCAGCTTCACGATCTTACCCAAGGGACTTTTAGTAGGTTGATAGGGCTTCCTTCCTCCCTCCTTGGTTTTCTTGTAGCAGGATCCAGGGATTTCCAAACAAAAAGGAGCACATTGTTCACTGTCCTGCCTTCCTTTCCCCAGAGGAATGTGATGACAAACAGCCGCTGACCAGCAAAGAGGAAGAGGAAAGGCGCATTGCCGAGCTGGGAAGGCCCATCTTAGGAGAGCACACCAAGCTGGAAGTGATCATTGAAGAGTCCTATGAGTTCAAGGTATGCCCACCCTGGAGGCCTGCTCACCTGGGAACACGGTGGTTCACAGTGTTGGCCCCACTATAAGATGCATCTAGAGGGAGAGGGAGATGTGATTTCAGGGACTGGATCATTCATTAAAAGACCTTTAGAGCCAATTGAAATTATGGAGTTAGTAGGGAACCAGGAGTCCCTGTAGACTCCAAGCAGCCTCAGAGCCAGGGCCCCACAGGTGGCATCCATCACTTCACAGGGTCAGAGATGCCCCAGAGAAAAGGTTTTGTCTGAGGGGATAGCAAGGAGGACACAAAGGTGGATACCAAGAGACTGTTAAGGTGTGTGTTAATTTGTGAAAGAGGCTCTAATGAATCTGTCAGAAGCAAAGTGTTGACATTGCTGAAAATTAAGAGGCTTTTGCTTTAGAGGTAGATTGTGATATTTCTATATAACTTCCCACTGACAAGCTCTCATTCATATTTAGTCACCCTCTTCAGCCCGGGAATATGTTTAGCATAGTCAACATACTGAAGTTATAGTGCCTGCAGCCACAGATTTTATAGTTGAGCTGATAAAATTGGGTCCCCAATTTTCTGGATGATGGAAGTCATTCAGAAATTAATATATGGATTTTGGAGTGAGCTTAAAACTTGGAGGTGAAACTCCCTGTCAATCACCAAACTACTTCCTCAACCCCACATCACCTCCCATTCCTTCTCACCCACAGTCCTAACATCTCAGAAGACCACAAGTGGAACCACATGTCACATATACAGTGGGATATGAAGAGCTGCATCCCTTCTCTTCAATTCCAGAATTACAAACCCTGAGCAGAGCAGTTTTATCCCTAATTTTTTTCAAAAGCAGACTGTTTCTGCTCAAAAAAATCAGAAAAAAAATTACCAAAAGAGATAATCTAGCCACCAGCTTAGAAACCTTAGTATTTTATCTAGATTTTTTTTTATATAGAGGCCTCTTTTCCTTTAGCTGATTTTCTTAATTACTTTTAATTTTGGTTCACAAATTGAGGTGCCTGAGAGGAAACAGGTAAAAAGAGAAAGATGTCTTTGCAATTAAAATGGAATTCTTAAAATGTAAAAAAAAAAATGCAGTTAAGCCAGGTATGGTGATATATGCCTGTAATTCCATTGACTTGGGCGGCTGAGGCAGGTAGATCACAAGTTCAAGGCCAGCTTCAGCAATTTAGGAAGACCTTTTCTCAAAATAAAAAAAATGATAATAATAAAAAGTGCTGGGGATGCAACTCAGTACCACAATAAAGGGGAAAATAAAGCAATTAAACTTTCTTCTTCAGGTCAGTGATAATCTGTTAGGACTTCCTTTCACTCATTTTCATAGAAAGGGGACAAGAATAAACTCTAGAGCCAATGCTTTCTAGACTTGACTCCGATCATCAGAGCCCATCACATATGATCTGGAACTTGGTCATTGCAAATCCATGAGTGGAACATGCACAAGTTTCCTATAGGGTATGGAAGTGTAGTTCAGTGGTAGAACACAGGCCTACCATGCATAAGGTTTTGGGTTCAATCCCCAGCACCTTGTGTCTAGGTGTGTTCAACTTTGTTCTTCCTCATGCACCTTCTTTTCATCTGGTTCTATTTGCTGCAGCAGAGATTCTGTGGGTTGGCATTTCTGGAGCAAATTTGTCCCCAACCATGCCAAATTTTTCATGGGGAATTGTATGTTCTCTCCCTTATGGAACAGTACCCAACCGTTCCCTTCCATGTACCCATGACAGAAAGAGCAATCATAGTGACTTCCCTTAGGAAGTGTTGGGTTGGGTGAGTCTCCCAGGAAGCAAAGTTTTCTTGGGTCCAAATCCCTCTCTGGTCACCACTCCAACAATCTGAGCATTGGAAAGTACCCTCAACCTCTTCACATAAGTCGGGTTCTTTGGTGTACTTATCCTCTTAGAATATCTTTAACATACTATTTCCTCTCATTTTCTCCAAATTCATCAATACAATTACCATTGACATCTAAAAGGCACTTTGGGGGCATGTTTCTGAAGCACCCTCAGGTATCAATTTTGATATTATATTATTTATTCAAGAATTTAGTTTCTCCAGATCATAGCCAAAAAACATGTTTGAGATTCCCAGAACTGTATTAGAACTCCAAGTCTGGGTGACATTTCACAATATCCCCTGTGCTTTGCCCACTGAATTCTTACACTATTTTGTAACTAAGAGCATGACTTTACTGACACCCATTGGTGAGGGCGAGGTTTTCACCATCTCTCAAAAGTCTAGTGCAGTAAAGAGCTTATCCCTGGCATTTAGGAACTCCCCAGGTAAAAATGGACAGCAATGTTAAGTTTGGTTTATCTTAAACATTTATTCTTTGGCAGGTATTTTTGTGAGGAAGTCTGTGTCCAACATCAGAGCAGTTTATCTGTTCAATTGTTTATCTCCCAGGTGATGGGCTTCTCCCTTTTAGTTTTAGCACAAAGGGCTGCTTTGGAGAGAGCTTCCCCATGTTTCCATTACATGTAGGAAAAATCAAGGTCATTTCTTGTTTCATTCTATCCAGCACTGGGAATTGGCATCGACCAAGATGCTCTCAGTGCTTGATGAGATGTGGTTGAGTTGAGAGAGAAAAGACAGACACTTGTCTTATGCTCCAAGTTATTGTACCCAAGAGCAGTGACTATTACAGCTGTTATCAGGGGCACCAGCAGTTCTAGACATAAGGCTAGAAGCTGAAAGGTCACCACCCTAAGGACAACCAATCTAGCCAAGAATAACATTACAAATACAGAGTGAACCAGCTGGAGATGGGCCCTTTCATGTTTATTATATTCTCAATGCTTCAAGTCAGTTCCAATGACTCTCCTTGGATTAACATGCTTGATATATAAATTGGCTTTGGCCTCCCATACGGGTCCCTCAGATCACATTTTCTTCACTCCCAGTTAGCTGATAATATGTTCTCTCTCCAACCATAATTAATTCAGGTACACTGTATTGACCATGTACAGATTTTGACCTAAGACAAATAATACATGTTTTCTGCCTCCTTGCAATTAGTGGAAATTCGAGGATGCTCTGACAGTAAGTGTGGATGCTTGGTAGACTAGTCAATATAGTAGATTCTCTGAGAAGAGCAGCCTCAATGTCTTGGAAATGCCCCTTTTCCTGTAGTTGCCATGATTTGTGGTAGCGCTTTGAGTGCATCTGCTTAGTTTTCTTGTGAACGCTTGGCTGAACCTGTTGTTACAATAACTAAATTTAGAAAACTAGACAGTACTAATTGTACAAAACTAAGTAATTTGAAAGTTCTAAAGAAAAATTAAGGGCATGTAGCACAGCACTAGTAAAACAGGGAAATTCTTTGCAGGGTTATTAGCAATGTGCCCTAACTCTTAAGAAGGGATCTTTGCTTGTCTTACTTTTCTTGTTTGTAACAGGAATGGAGTGAGAGTGGAATTCTCTACTAGCCACAAAGCTGACCAAACTAATAGCCAAAAAAAGAAAAAAAGAAATCTATTTATTAATGACAATGCAGCAAGCAACCTGAGACTCTGTTACCTGGCTGCATTTCACTGGTAAACAAAAGAACAAGATTAAGTCTTTGGTTTCAGAATCTGTCAATCAATTCCATTGTTTACAGATATATATATAATGCTGAGCAAAGCCTATATTAATTTAGTTGCAGACAACCCCCTACAGATAAAGCCAGCAGAGAAGCCAGTTCACTAAGCATTCAAGGGGAATGGATAGGCCTTTGCAACAGCTACTATTCTAAACACTGAGGCTATTTTTCATTGGCCATTAGTCAGTGACGGAGGCTTGTGTGTGCTGCAAAGAAGTTTCCATTTCAGAATGTTTCCAAGAAAAGACCATGCTTGTTTGCATAATCATAAAAGTGTTTGAAAAGAAAAGTATTTGATATCAATACTGTTGTTCTGAGCCTAACATCTGCTACCCTTTACATAACTCTGAGGTTTCCAACAAGGTCTTAGATTTCCTCAGGTCCTAACAAGCCCAGCAGTTATTATATTATTCCTTTCCACCTTTCTAGAGTACTGTGGACAAACTCATTAAGAAGACAAACCTGGCCCTGGTGGTGGGGACAAACAGCTGGAGAGAACAGTTCATCGAAGCCATCACTGTCAGTGCTGGTGAGTGCCTTTCTCTGCAAATTGTAAGTTAAAATGGCCAACCTGAGTGGAGATTTTCTACTATGCCATTTAGTCTATGGCAAAGCACCAAAGGTGGTAGGATCAAGAGAAATAAACGTATTTTTTGCATGTATGCAACTTTTGTACATGAAATTAGCCTATCTAGGTGAAGCAAATGGGTTTGGACATGCCACTCTTCTCCATCTACCCTGAATCATTCTCTCTGGAAATAGACAATCTACATGTAAAGCCTTTTGTATCTCTGATTCACTGATAGCCAATCACAGAGTTATGTCTGGAAAATTCCCAGAAAGCAGCCCAAAGTGGGCAAGTGAAAGTCAGGGAAAAAAAGTAAAATCATAGAAGGAAAAGACATTAGGACACTCTTACCAACTACCATCTGCATCATTTTACAATCTCTTCCACAACGTTTAACAAATAAGCTTTTTACACTGGCTCCAAAAGTGCAAATAAAAACACATTCTGTTTCTTTCTGTACAAGCAAAGCACAGAGTTTTATTAGGAAAATCCTGCCAAAAAAAATGAAATGTTTTTCAAACTCTAAGAGTCAGAGATGGGAGGAAATGACATACAAAAAGAAGTGTCTTCTTCCTGTATTGTCAAATCGTGTTCACTCTCTGGGTGACTATATAAATAGAGAGGCAACTCCCTCTTGAAAAAATCATGAAAGCAGCACTACCCTGGGATTTTTTTTTCCTTGCTTTTCAGTTCCTTTACCGGTTCTTTCTTTCAAGATCCCCACAGACTCATCTTCCACTGTTGCCGTGGATGAACATAGCTAGAGTTTCCTAAATAGTGATTCCCAAGCAGTAAAAATGGAAACAGCGTCACGAGCACTTGGGCCTTGACTTGTAGCACAACCTCCTCTCTCCAATCTGCCATAATATAATTTGACAGATCTCCCAAATACTGTGGCAACAGAGGGTGGTATAAAAAGATAAAAAATGAACTATATGCAGATTTATTAGTAGTGCTGTTTGTAAGCACACTGAGGTTTCTTGCAATTGAGCGTACAACGGGAATGCATGAACATTAAATGATAAATAACTGCTTAGGAGAGTGGATTTGGAATTTCCACTGAAGCTGTACTAGAAGGAGTGGGAAACTCCCTCTATACAGCTTATATCATTCTATAAATCTAAGATTAGCGTCTGAAGCATGAGCTATCCTCCCTCTTCACAGAGAGAATAGGCAAAACTGCTGATGAGATCAATAGAAGAAAACATTAAAAATAGCCAAATTGTTTTATGGGCTTTGACATATTAGAATTGAAACATTAAAGGCAGTGTAAGCTTTATAGTGAACTATTCCTAATAGCTTCTGGGTTTCCTTTGGCTGCAGATACATGAGCATTTTGTACAATGGCCAAGTACTGGTCTTCATTCATTCTTTTTTTCTATGTGTCCTTCATTGCTCTTGGTGAACAGTGAATGAAACAGGAATATTCCTGGCCAAGTGGAGCTTACATTCTAATGAATCAGATGGCAAATAAGACAAATAAGTTAAAGTGGTTGGTGAGCTTGTCATGGAGAACGTAGAGCCTAAGGCCAAAGACAGGAAGTGTGTGTGTGGGCTTCAGTTTTAGATACGTGGCCAAGCTGATACCATCAATTTCAGCACCAATATGCTTTTCTAGCAGTGGAATGTTTTTGTTGTTGTTGTTGGTTCAATCACACATTTTTGTAACTCACAGGAACCATAGCAAATCACAGCAGTGGGAAAGGGCGGTTTTGAACAGTGAATGAGATTATGCCACCAACAAGGCCAAAACTGGGGCATTTGCGTCTGGTCAGAACAAAGACACAATTATGGAGATGTTAATGCTTCATTCCTTGCAAGAGATGGATTTTGGTTTGCAAACACTTTCATATAGTATGTGGAATTAAATCTTCTCAAAACGCCCCAAGGCGGGTGTTGTGGTTAACCTGACTGCCAAGAGGGAAGCATCTGAGTCTTGCAGATGTGGCATGGCTTTGGAAGGGAGCTCGAACCCCAGAGAGAAATTTCAAAGTGAGGAAAATTGCTCACCACCTCTGTCTCAGTGACACAGATTGGCTTTTGTCCCCTCTTCTGGTGCCATGGTATCATCATTCCATGGTGGGTCTAGCTCCTAACCAAATCTTTTTAAAGGACTGTTAATAAATGAAATACAGAACCTCTCAGGCTTTCTTATTTGTTATACAACATAATGTGTTTTATGTTTCTAAATGACTTCTTGGAGATAAGACATACTATTCGGAAATTTGTAGGTTGCTGGGTAAATTGACCTTATTTACAATTTTGAGACAGAAACTAACAGAAAAACAGACACATAGTTTATAGGCACTAAATTAGATTAAATTACATGAAAGGCAGTTTTAAAAAAAAGCTCATTGTTTGTCATTAGGATTAAATTTAAGTGTCTAAAGAATGCTAATACTCTTAGGCTGTTAAACAGACCAAAAAAAATTTTAAAACACCATTTATTGATGACAGAATTTCATTGGATTTTTAAGATTTCATGGCTAAATAGTTGAGAAACAGAAAGATTTGCCTTATTAAAAATATTAAATTGCCTTTGAAGGGCTCTACTGAGAGGTTTTTTCCTAAGTAATTTTCTGTGCAAAATTGAGTCCGTATATCTTGCTAAACAAAAGTAATAATTTCGTAAGTAGGGTTTTGCTTCACTTCCGCACTAACTATATTCAAACTATTTTCAAGATAACCCCTGGAAATTTTATTCCCCTGCTTTTCTTGAATTTCATAGCTCAGTACCTGGGCCTCCTATGACCATAATGTTTCTGTGATCCAAGTACTTATAGTTCAATATTTGAAGACTTAAAGGACTTATGAGACTCCAGAGATTAGGAAGGGATTAAACAGTCATGTCCCAGCAATTCCCCTTCTGTTGCTTCCCGGTTGAATACCAGGAGCAGTGGTGTGTGGCAGTCAAATGGCTGTCAAAAACTTGCAAGGCAAGCCCTAAAACCAGGTGCTTTTAGGATGTGTCAGCACATGCACTTTTTAATGAAGCTAGCACTCACTGCCCATTCAGTTTGAGTTTTTCCCAATTTCTTCTTCTTCCTTGTATCTCCCCCAGGGCAGAATGGGTAGGTTGACTTTAAGAAATCATGTGCCAGCTGCAACACAAATCAAAACAGGTGTGTCAGAGCAGAGGGCAAACATTAGCTGGGTAAAGACAGCCAGGATGCCAATGCCAGTTCCACACTACCATGTTGTTACTCTTCACAACAGCCTTGGGTCAAGGTAAGGTGAAGGAAAGAGTGGTTGCCAGGCTGTCTTGGAAAAAAGATGGGGATCTCTGTTCCATCCCTCCTGGGTTGACTCTGAGCAGATTATTTCCCCACAAGGTCTCAGTTCCCTCTTATGTAAAGTGGAGATAAGTATGCGTCACTCAGTCACTCACGGAGTTGCCATAATACTCATTGAGACAATGCCAGCTTTTTTAATTTAATTTTTCTGAATTTTAGATTTATCATCAACATAATGGGCTAGGCTGAACTAGGTTCACTCTAAGATACCATCTAGTATGGCAATTCGGGGGCTCTTTCCCTGAAGCATCCCTGAGGGCATTGGGTCCTATGGTCCAAAATTGATGGTTGGGAGACAAACATATATACAAAGATTATGCAATAAAATAACACCCAAATTTGTTTAAATGCAGTTAATTCAACTTACTAAGAGCCAAGTGGCTACAAACATAATGGTTGACCTATTTTTGTTTCCTGGTAAGTACTCTAGGTACCATTAGATTCAGAAAAACAATGTAACTTGCTCAAGAAGCAAAACAGGTAAGGGGCAGTGCTGGGGTACAGATCGACCCAGAACTCTGTCCAGTGTGAAGAGTGCATTAGCTTGTTGTGCCTGGGGCCTGAGCACAATTACCAAAACACACAAAGGTGTAGAACATATGTATACACACAGACATGCATGCATTTGTGCAAACACATGTGAAAACACAGAGGGCCACATACAAATGCACACAAACACAATATAGAGATACATACATACACAGGCTCTTGAAGACACAGATACACAAAATACATGCACACAGACACAGAGACATGTGCATGCACCTCAAATGGCATCTTTTTGTTTTAGATATTTAAACTGTAGCTTGAAATATAAAGATTTTTTTCCTTAATATTTGTTATTTCCTTATAGACTCCTTTGCAGTTCCTGGGGGGAGGACGCTAGTCAGTTCCCTAAAGAACAAAGGGAAGTGTTTGTTTTCCCAGTTATATCCACAGCTTCTCTTGCCTCATAATTTCTGACATTTTTTTAAAAGAAAGTCAATATAGTGCTCTTTCCTTTACTTAATAATTTTAAACACCTAGCACTAAAGATTTTTCTGAAAATCTTTTCCTTTTGACATAGATTTTGTGAAACTGACATAAAGATAAAAGCACTTAAAAGTAGAAAAAATAAAAACCTCTTTGCAGTCATGGGTCTGTCTCTTGGCATAACTTTTGGCCATGTATTTAATTTTTCTGAATTTTAGATTATCATCAATATAATGGGCTAGGCTGGACTAGGTTCACTCTAAGATACCATCCAGTATGGCAATTCGGGGGCTCTTTCCCTGAAGCATCCCTGATGGCATTGGGTCCTATGGTCCACTGCACACCCTGCCCACATACCTGGCCTTGCCCAAATTAAATGTTCAGAGCAGTAACACATACACTCCATATCCATTCTCCTAGAATGAAAGGGATGAGGGAACAAAGTTTAGCCTCCAAGAAAAATGATGATGATTCAAAAGAGTAAAATTTTCTTCCTGTTCAATAATCAAAACTCACAAATTTTGTGGAATCTTCCACAGTACAATGGAGGGCATTCAACATGAGGCCAGGCCTGTGCAGGTAGGTGGTCTACCACGCTTGCTATGCTACAGCTTCAGCCTTCCGTGTAGACCATGGTCTCACAGGAAGCCTTGCTAAGTTTGGGGGATGCTGTGTGCCAAAGTCCTTCATCCCTGC